ATGGAGGCACATGACAACGTGGAGATCCTAGTGCACGTCACAGCGCCGTGCAGGAACATTGATGATGTGCGCTACCGAGCCCTTGCACAGGCATATCTGGATTTTGTCCCAACAAGACAGACCAATATTTTGAGCAAACCATCAGAAGAGGAAGAAGATGTCGAAGCTATCCCCAGCTCAGAGGCCGAGCCGCCAGCGTTACCTGCTTGGTCAGATGTGCCGAACCTCGAGAGCGAAACAACTCAACTGGCAACCTCATCACCACCACATATACCACCCTCGCCACCTCTATACCCCGCCGCTTTTGGATCATTCGAATCACAGCAGCTGTCCTTCAGGAGTGTCTTGGACAATAGGAATTCCCCGGGCCTCGGTCGGCCACTTGCATCTAGAGACTTACCACCTTCGTCTCAACCTGTGGCAGATTCACAGCCAACGCAGGCTAGTTGGGTAGCTCCTCCAAGTGTCGTCGGTGACTCTCAGCCGTCATATAACATCAGCCTGGCCGAGTTCTCATCCCCGAGTCGGCTCTTTGAACATCTAGCAGGGCAGTTCGATAGCCAACTCGATGAGGAATCTCAACAACTGTCCCCAGAGGCAAGCCGACAGCAAATTCCAGAAGTATTCGCCACGGGGACGCCAGCCATAGAGGAAGACTGCAATGAGGACGAAGACGATGGCCAGGTTGTTCTCGTAACGTCGAGCAACTCCCTGGCGGTCAAGAGCAATGCCACTCCAGTTCCGGCGGCCTCCCCCATATCTGCAGATGCTATTATCCTCAACACGCCGTTTCCTGCTCTCAAGCGACCGCCTCTTGTCAGCTCTCCCTTTGAGCAGATAATACAGGACACGCCTTGCCAACCGTCTCGGAAGAGAGCAATACCGTCTTCGCCAAACCGAGCCGGCTCTGAGCCCCCACTTCCATCCAAACGGCACAAACGATCAGCGCCCATCTCAGAATCGAGGTCGGTCATCACGAGAAGCTCCTCAGACGTAGGTCCTGGGCCCAGCAATCTCTTCAGACCTCAACGACCTCCTAATGAGAGGCACTTGAGCTACCTCGCATGTGTCGAGATCCACCCCGTCGGCCCCCCAGTTGGAACCAGCGAGCTGACGCCAGATGATCTCCTGACGCCTAAGCTGAAGGAGCTGGCCCGCCAACTCAAGATCTCGAAGCGCTTTGCCCCAGTCGAACAGACGAGGGATCTGCGTCCTTTTGAGCGAGGTCACTGGCACCTAGACTGGACAGGCTGGCGACCGAGTCTCCGCGAGCGAGCCTGGCACTTTTTGACGGATTACATCCTCGAAGGGTTCGCGGGATGGGGGGTCTGGTGTAAACGCGCAGAGGACTGGTCCTGGATACGCGTGTACTGCTGGGGCCATATCGTCGGCCACATCTATCTGGCCTTGTACCTGGCGAGCGAACGGGCCCTGAAGAAGGATGCTGCGAGGTGGCTGGACGGTGCGGGCGATGTGATCATCATCACCAATGGCCACGAAAACTCTGACTCTGGGGAGAGCGTGGAGGGCGAGCCTGACGAAGGAATGTAGTAGGTTGGGAGACTATACGGCGGGCAGTTTGTATTTGGCTTTTCTTCCTTCCTGTTTTTCTTGGCTTAGCGAGGCGTTTGCATAAGGCAAGGGGCTCGACAGGGCGGTATTGCTTGACAAATTTGGATACGGCGCAAACAGCCGGGTTAGCATAGAAACAAACAATGGGCGCACCTTCAAAATGGTATATAGGGAGCAATTTGGACTTTTCGTCCTGGTCGCGAAACCTCTCTTTGACATTTGGTATCTGAAATACAGCTAAGGAACATCGACCGATCCTTCTAGCAATTCCGACTCTGTACAGAACAAGGAAAACCAATAAGCATACCCTCCTCTTCCCGACTTGCTCCTCCTCGTACACGTTTCATCGCTCTGCTGAACTCGCTCAGGCATATCCTACTTTTTTTGACACTCGACGCCGCGGGGTGGATTTTATTCCTCGAGGGGAATCCTCGAGAAGAGAAAGAAAAGGACTACCGTTCAGGTTCGTGACCTGAGCTGAGTGAACTTTTCTTACTCGGGAGAAGGGCTACGCTTGGCGACATGGCCCAAGATTTCCAGCGACTCGCGCTCCCAACGGTCAAAGTCAGCCTTGGCGAGCTCCTCGTACGCGACCTTCTCGGGTGGTGACATCTGCTTCCACTCGTTGCCAATGGCTTGCATGTTCTCACTCGCCTTGCCAGTGTGGTTGGAGTAGTCGCCGCTGCCGAATCGCGCCTTGACGAAGAGCGCGTAGGCGTTGTGCGGCCTCTTGGGGAGGCGGTCGTCGCGGATGGTCCGCGGGACCTGCTTGCCGGTGAGGTTGCGGAGCCTCGCGCGGGCGCGGTTGGCCTCGGCCACAACCGTTGGCTGAAGCGTCGCAACCCACGACTTGTAGGCCGCGTCGTTGGTGAGCTTGTTGGCTTCGGCGATCTCTTCAAGACGCTACGCATTTCAGGTTTGTCAGTCTATCGTTTTGATATGCATCGAGGGGCTCCTGTTGGGGATCCGCAGGAGAGGGAACAAGACAGAGAGTCAGCCCTTACCTGGACGTCGTATGAGGACAGGTTCTTGTAGGACTCGGCGATGCCCTTGACCCGGTCGGTCAACTTCAAGTCTGAGGTGGGCTCCGTAGCAAATTGTTGCTCAGCATACACCCGGAATGTGTTCGTTGGGAGTTTCTTCGGCTCCTCCAGCAGCGCTGCCGTCTTCAACTCCCGCACCCTAAGCCTCTTCTGCTGCTCGGGCGTGAGCACCACCTTCTTGACCTTCTTCTTTTTGGGCGCAGCCTTCTTCACCGCGACCTTCTTCTTCGCCTTGGGCTTCTTAGCGGCGGGCTTCTTGGCCTTGTTGGCGGGCTTCTCCTTGGCGGCCGTGGTCTTCGTCTTGGTTTTAGTGGTTGTCGCCGCCTTGGTGGCAGGCATGCGCGCCCATTGCGAGGTCGAGAAGCCGCGGCAAGACGCTGCGCGCGCGACAGCAAGCTGGGTTCGCGGGACTGCCAACGGGGCAGTGCGTAGGAGCACGCGCTGGGCGGCGGCGCGGCCGATTGCTGTCAACATGTTGTGAACTTTTGAGTGGGCCGAGGTTGGTGTTTTGGAGCGAGCCGGGAGATGTTTGGTGGTGATGGTCGATCGCGATAGGGCAATCCGGAAGGGGCTGGATAGGGCGAATCGAGTGCGAGCGGTATTGAGGCTAGGATCAGGCCAATCGTGGGAGTCGGGGGTGTCGGGGGTGTGTTTTCGACACCACAATTGCCGTCCGTGGTGTTGACAGAATGACGAGGGACTGTGAGCAATGCGACTGAACTTGGTCTGCCTCCTTGTTTGTTTGACCATCCACCCCTGAAGCTCTGATGTACCGAGTACCAAGATACGGTGATAAAAGGGTGCAAAACAGAGTACCGAGTACGCCACCTCCAATCACCCACCACAGCAGCTCCAAGCTGACCATTTTTGGCAAGCCCACCCCAAACTTGCGGCCCCGTTTGTCAGGCACCAGAGCCCTGACGCAGTAGCTCTAGCGGCGGCGGGAGCAGGAGCAACTGGCCTGTCAGCCAGTCAGCCAGCCAGCCAGGCGGCCTGCAGAGGCACCCACGGGACGCGAAGCTCACCCCGGACAAGCTTCAATCAACTTCACATACCAAACCATCTCAGAACCCACCCACGAACTTGCAACAACGACGAAGCCAATCCTCCTTTCCGACCACCTTTCATCATCTCGATCACCAAACCACACAAATATCAGAAATTATGGATCACAGACCGCAAGCTTGGGGCCGTGTACGCAATCCCCAGTCTCTCCCCCTCCCCTCCTTCCCGGGAATCTCAGCCTCGCATCGTGGACTAACAACCCGGAACCCCTCCTCTTAGCCTAGAGACGACGTCTACGGAGCCTACGATGGCTCGTACATGAACACCAATGGTCCCAACCAAGCGACACAGGCTCCCATCGTTACGGGTACATCAGTCATCGCCATCAAGTTCAGCGAAGGTGTCGTCATCGCCGCCGACAACCTGGGTACGTCTTTGTCTTTGCTCGCCCCCCATTGCCGTCCTGTGCTGGCACTATACTTTTCAAGCATTGAAAGCTAACAACTGTTCTCTCATATAGCATCCTACGGCTCGCTCGCCCGATTCACCGATGTCAAGCGTCTCCGCACCTTCGCCAACTCCACCGTCGTGGGCTTCGGCGGCGACGTCTCCGACATGCAATACCTCGACCGCCACCTCTCAGGCCTCGACATTGAGGAGTCCTACGACCTGGCCAACGACGCCCCCGCCCGGCTCAACGCCGCGAACCTCCACAAGTATCTCTCCAAGCTCCTCTACAAGCGCCGCTCCGACTTCGATCCTCTCTGGAACCACCTTCTCGTCGCCGGCCTCGACGACAACAACAAGCCCTTCCTCGCCGCCGCCGATCTGCTCGGCACCACCTTCACCTCCCCCTCCCTGGCAACGGGTTTCGGCTCAGCCCTCGCCCAACCCATCATGCGTCGCTACGCCCCTGACGAGGAGACCGCCGCCAAGCTCTCCAAGGAGCAGGCCGTCGATGTGATCAAGGAGTGTATGAAGGTTCTCTTCTACCGTGACGCGCGCAGCTCGGATTCCTACTCGATTGCTGTAGTGACCAAGGATGGAGTCGACTTGAAGGAGAGTGAGAAGCTTGAGAAGCAAAGCTGGAAGTTTGCGGAACGGATCCGCGGCTACGGCACGCAGGTGAACTAAAGAAGGGGAAGGGACAGACACAGGCATCTTTGGGAAATAGAGAGACAGGCAGTGAGAGAATGGGAGGAAATGAAATGACAATGACTGGTTATTCGGCATAACCTCTGGCAATCCCTTGGGTGGGAATACTCATGAGACGCAAGTAGTAGAAGAGAAGCACAAGCCCGGCAACCCAGGGCTTATCGGCATCACGATGAGATCAGGCGTGTGCGAGCAAGTGTGTGTAACACCAAATGAAATAGACAATATTGTTTTCATTGCTTCAGGTTGCCTGACTACGGCATTTAACCTCAAAAAGATACGCTCCTTTATCTTGACCGGCCCAAATCTACCATGCTGGACCATTCCCTCATTTTCACAATACCCAGTAATACATCAGGGGGCTCCGAAGTTGCCATCGCCTTTTTGTGGCCCCCTGTGACATCAAAAGCATCAAGGGCTTATCCTCCCTTTTGGCAACCCAACTCCCAGGGGGCGAATCACCCGACAATAAACCAAAGTTCACTCATGCTGTGTGAGCAGTTTACTCGACAGTGACAGACTTGGCCAGGTTACGAGGGAAATCGACGTTAAGCCCCTCCATAACAGCCAGCCAGTAAGCGATCAACTGCAGGGGAACGACGTTGAGGATACCCTGAAGGGCGTCGACCGTCTTGGGGATCTCAATCTTCTCAGCCTCGCTGGTCTTGAACTCCTCATCACCAGGGTTGCAGATGACAATGGGCTTTCCGCTGCGAGCAATAACTATTCGATTTGTTAGCAAATGATCAAGCTTCATGTTGGCTAATGTTTCAAACTTACCTTGCTGGTAGGCATTGAGCGACTTCTTGAAGAGGTCATCACGGGTGAGGATCATGATGATGGGCAGGTTCTCGTCAACGAGAGCAAGAACACCGTGCTTCAGCTCACCGGACATGACAGCCTCGCAGTGAAGGTAGGAAATTTCCTTAATCTTCAGAGCACCCTCAAGGGCGGTAGAAAACTGGGCACCGCGACCGAGCAGCAGAAGAGACTTCTGGTTCTGGAAAGTCTTGGAGCAGAGCTCCTTGATGGACTGGTCCTGGGTGAGGATATCCTTGATCTGCTCAGGGATCTTGGCGAGGCCCTCCATGATCTCCTCGCGACGCTTCTGCTTGGATGCGCGGTCCTCACTAAGGGAGAGGGCGAACATGACCATGGCAATGAACTGGGAGGTGTAGGCCTTGGTGGAGGCAACACCGATTTCGGGACCGGCGTTGACGTGAACACCGCAGTGGGTGAGCAGAGAGATGGAGGAACCGACGACGTTGACGATACCGACGGTCAGGGCGCCGCGCTCCAAGCAGTAGCGGAGAGCCATGAGAGAGTCGGCAGTCTCACCAGACTGGGAGACGAAGACGCAGGTGTCGTCACGGAAGACGGGCGCCTGTCTGTCGAGGAAATCGGAAGCCAGCTCAACGGCGATGGGGATCTCGGCCAGCTCTTCAAACACACCGCGAACGGCCATGCATGAGTGATAACTGGTACCGCATGCAATGAAGATAATTCTGCGGCAGCGGCGGATGGTAGAAATGTAAGAGCGGAGACCACCTAGGGTGACAGTCTTGTTGGCGGCATCGAGACGACCTCTCATGGTGTTGACGACGGACTCGGGCTGCTCGAAAATTTCCTTCTGCATGAAGTGATCGAACTTGCCCTTCATGATCTCCTGAAGCTCAAGCTCCAGGGTCTGGATGGTGCGCACATTGGAGCTGCCGTCCGCCTTCTTAAGACGGTGAATGTTCAGCGAGCCCTCGTGAATGTGAGCAATATCATCGTCCTCAAGGTACATGACCTTCTTGGTGTGTTCGACGATGGCAGACGGGTCAGACGAGAGGAAGAACTCCGTGGGCATGGGCATGCCGTCGTCGGTCATGAAAGCGCGCGACTGCGAGCGGTGCAGGAGCGACTTGTCGGGGGCACCTAGCAGAGTGTTGGGGTTCAAGAAGTTGTCCTGCTGCTTCTTGAGGGCAACGTTCTGGGAGGCAGCCTCGGCAGAGAGGGCACCCTCCTCGGAGTACTCGACGTCGACGAAGTCGACCTTCATGCGCTTCTGAGTCTTGACACCGATGACAAGGGGAGAACCCTTGCGGGCAGCGATGACCTCATGGGGGTAGTGTACGGACTTGATCAAAAGTCCGTAAGCGCCCTCGAGCTCGTTGATGACAGCCTTGGCGAGGTCGGTGAAGCCAATATCGGGGTGCTGGTCGTACAGGTACTTGGCGAGCTTAGCAATGCATTCGGTGTCGGTTTCGGTCTCGAACTTGAAGCCCTTGGCGCTCAAGAGGGTCTTGAGCTCCTTGTAGTTGGTGATGATACCATTGTGAACGACGGTGAACTCCCAGGTAGGGTCAGATCTAGGCGATGGGAAGTCATGTCAGCTACTTGAGTTTTTGATGACAAGGAAGCATTCAAAGTGGAAAGTTTGCTGTTGTTTTTGCGGGTGTGCAAACGTACCTGTGGGGGTGGCAGTTCAGACGAGACGGGGGGCCGTGGGTAGCCCAGCGAGTGTGGGCGATACCGGCATGTGAGTCGAAGTACTTGGTCTCGTCGACCTTGGACTCAGCGATGAGCTCCTTGAGCTTGGCGACCTTGCCAACCTCCTTGAAGGCGAAGACCTCGTTCTTCTTGTCACCGTCGACAGCAAGGCCGGCCGAGTCGTATCCACGGTACTCGAGACGGGAGAGACCTGTTGGAAGCAAAGGCCCGTGAGCAAAACAGCTCTCGAGATAAGGTGGAGCTATGTGGCTCCAATTGGAAGTATTCAGGAGGAGGCGGTGTACTCACCGTTCACCAGAGTGTCGAGGATGAACTGGCGGTCCTTCTCCACCAGGTAGTTGACGTAGCCGAAAATGCCACTATTGGAGGAGAGGTGCACGTCAGCTTACTGCTTACTGTGATGCCAATTGCCTTCGTGGCTGTCGGCGCTCCGACCCTTTTTTTCAGCTGGCAGAAGCTGGGTGGAGGGGAAGGGGAGGATGCCGGCAAGCTTTCAGGAGAGCGGGGAGCGGAATTGGGGGGGGAGACATACCACATGTTGATTCAACGCAATCGAAGACCCTGACAAGAAACGTAAAAGACCAATTAACAGAAAGAGGCGGAGACTCGTGTGGTAGAGGCGGCGGCGAAGGGTATCAAGAAGAGCGAGAGAGATGAATAGTTGGATCAAGAGAGAATGAGTAGGGTAGAGCAAGATGCAGGAGGCGGGAGCTGAGCAGCTTTATGTGCAGCTGGTTGAACTGGCTGGAGAGCAATGGGAGGGGAGTGTATTGTGTACGTGGAGAGAATACGCAGTAGCGCCCAAAGGCGTGGAGGGGGGCGGTGGGCGGGGTGTGGCAGGGGCGTGCTCGTATTGAGGATGACAGAGAGGGCGCGGCGCGGCACGGGTTGAGGGTGAGAGTGAGGACCGAAGATGACGGGGGGATGGGGCAGGGCCAGGTACACTATGTGGTATCCGTTCTTGTTATGGACGATGATGTCCTGCTATTGCCCAGAGAAAGCCAGGGAAGGAAACAAGGCTCTAAGAAACAAGCGCGCAATGAGTTGCTGAAGCATTGTTCTTAGTGTGTCGACTGACCGTTTACTTGATGTTTGGCAGGCAATGCCTCCATCACAGGATAGCAAGCAAGCAAGTTCGGGTAGTGTATACGGATGCCTACAATTCACTTGACACATCAGCATGAGACGCCAGTCTCTGAGAACAGTGGATAAGGTCAGATGCTTCAGGAGATGACCATGCTTGTTTATTGAGCTAGCTGCCTTGCCCTTTTTCTTTTTGGCTGTAGAAGTTGGCAGAAAAGCAGCGTCTCATTGTCGTTTGCGTTTGCTACCTAGATATCATGTCTAAGTCATTGGTTTGAGTGCCTCCAGGAAGGTCCGGTAGACTCATTGCTGGATCGGTTTACAAATGGTTATGGGCGAGGTAAGGTAGTTCTCGAGTCACCGAGTTGGAGGTGTCCTACACTTTCGCAGCTGGGATGGCATATGCCAGGACTCGGAGCAGACAGGCGCTAGGGCAACGGAATGGAGAATAAATCTAGATTTCGACGGAGCAGGAATACCGCTCTGTTACCCTGTGTATGTAGAAACAAAAGAGACAGAGACCGATCCGTACCGGCATCCGTAATCCGCACTTCTTTGCAGTTCGATGTCTGGGGCGACCCAGTCAGAGTTGGGAAAGACAGACGTGCCCAGCCAGTGGAAGAGCCGCGAATGCAGCGAGTGAGGGGCAGCAGGTTTCTGGAGACTGGAAGGGGCCCCCACCTCACCGGCAACAGCAAAGGAGCTGCAGTTTCTGGCACCACTTGCCTGCAGCAACACACATCGCGATATTCCTTGGAACCTTGAGTTAACCACACATCGTGAAGAACATTTCCAGCCCCATCCCGGCGAAATCCGTTGTCTCTTGTGTGCCTGAGCAGACTGCAGACAAGGCAGAATACCTACAGCCCAATGTCTGACATGTTGTCTGTGCTGCATCATTGACTGGTCCGTCGTTTTCTTTTCCATCCCACCTCTTGCTCCCATTTCATCCAGAGACAGGCACTAGGTACCTATTTCAGACTATCCGTACGGTACCTGGACGCGGCCGCAGGCGCAGTGCAGGAATGCCACCCACCGCTCCCATCCCTCACCTCCTCCTCAAGGTCCCCCTCCTTTCCTGGACTGTGGCGCCATTCCCTGGCTGAGCCATTCGGCTGCTACACTAGCTCCAAAGATCGCCCTTGGTACGTACCGCAATAACATCGTGGGCTTTAGAAAAGACTTGCTTCTTCATTTCAACTGCTGTTACGGATACAGTACGACCAATGCTGTTAGCCAAACGGTTCATACCATAGTACTATCTCCATAGCATTTACTTGCAAGTACTGAGTCCTGGATACCTACCTACCATACTATACGTCTACGTCTTTCTTGCTGCAGGAAGTCTATAGACAATCAGCCAACACTTGATTGAGCACGATTTGGCATCAATGCTGCTCTCGCCGCTTCCATTCCCAACCAGCCGCTAGGAGGGCACGATTTCCGCAAGCTGCATTTGTAACGCTAAAGCCTTCCGAAAGGGTCAGCTTGTGATGAAACCTGCACCAAGCAGGCACCGAGTTAGGAAAGCCGCTGCCATCAACTTTTGTTGCAACGCCTCACCCGCCTTGCCATCCATCAAGTTTCAACACACCTCTTTCTCTACCACAGCCCGTACTCTTTACCAGCGCATCTTTCCCATGGGTTGGCACGGTTGCTTACCTACCTTACTAGGTGGCTACGGGAACTTGACTCGACCCGAGCTCCCCCACTCGCGCACGCACACACACACACACACACTCACTCACTCACACACACGGCATACCTAGCAGTTACGGTGTACTTGATACCTATTCAAGCACGCGCCTCCTGAAGTGCTCGTCCCATGTGCCCCCCAACCCACCAACACCAAGATCTGATCCAGTACCGCCTTATCCCAACAACACCTCGTCATTAATCGGGAATCGCAAACGCACAATTATACCAAGCACATCAACAACTGCGCGTAATGTGCACTAATAGTCAGATATACAAGAGATCAAACATGACAACTCAACTACCTTGGTTGTCCAACGTCCGCGATATGGTCCGTCCACCCGATTTGTCGGTTCTATTCTTTCTTGCTGTTGCCTCAAAGACGTCCCCTTTCCTCGGGCATTGGTGCGGACGGCTACCTGCGTTCGTCATGCTCTGTCCTACCCTCCAACGCTTTTTTTCAAGGGTTCCATCACCGACATCATCGCTTTCTCGACCCCTTCTTTTCGTATTGCCTGGCCCCGACGTGCCCCAGTCCCCAATCATCTGGGTGCGGACACCCCTTGGTTGTCAAGCGCTAGAAAGGATCCAGCGGGGATCGTCGGCAATGTGACACCAAGCGACGAGAATTCCCAAGCTCGGGTCCCCTGGTGTCCAACTCTTGCTGCTTGGCTCCGTTGCTGGTTGCACCCATGGAGCATGGAGGGGCCACACAGGGGAGGGAGGAGTGGGGCCTCCAGGTACGAAGAGAAGCGGAAGAGAGAGAAAAAAAAAAAACAGAAGAGAAGACAACGCACTAAGAAAAGGTACAGCCTCAATTGCCATCGTGAGAACGGGCCACAAAAGGGGCGGCTTGTCGTCTACTCCGTATACCAGTCGCCAAAAATAACAGCTCGCACCGAGGAGAGAACCCTGCTAGACCGGCCTCTCCTGCAAATCACCATCTGGCATCTTTTCAATGCCACCGCCCATCTCGACGCCCCAGCTTGACCCAGATCTTCTCGAATCGGCCGCGAGTCCACCCAGCCGAGGCAAACGCTCCTTGAAGTTTTGAACCAAGTCCGGATACGTCGAGCGCGCCTGTTTAGTATCATACAGCCGCTCGTTGCGCGTTATCCAGATCTTTTTGATATCGATTTTGTGCTACGTACAACCCACGTTCCACGGTCCCTTGAATCAGCAAATAGGCCGAATGGAAGACCGGTATGGCCCACACACAGAAACGATGCATCGCACAACTGTACGAGGTACCTTGCCATGACTTCAGTGTTGCTTAATCCGAAGGAAAGCGAACACCGTACCCATCAAGCCAGATTCAACAAAGTCCAACACCTCATGCGTAGATGCGTTCATATCAGACGGCCGCCGGGGTCCTCGAGACGCCGCCTGCAGAACATGCCCCGGTTGCAGTCGCTCATCTCCAGTCTCACGGTAATCTTCCCATCGAAAACATGTGGCTGACCTTTGTCTCTATTCGTTGCCGTGCGAGATCACCTAGGTGGTCTCAGCTAGAGCCCCGCCATCCGCTTGCAGCAGCTTTAACAGCCTCCTTTGCACGGCATGGCGGATTCGTCGAATCACAGATTCAGGACCAGACCTTCGATCCTCCCAGGCTTACAATGTGCGACCTCATTCCCCACCCGTTGTCTTCTCGTCAGACAGGATTGTAAGCATGTGCTTCCGTCGTCTGCCTGCAGTGTAAGCTGTTAGCGAAGGAACAGAAAGATCATGTAAGACTCGACTAAAAAGCACACTCGCTGTAGCTTCGCTTACACCAAACGATGTCGAGGACCACTGCCTAAATACACCCCCTGAGCTATCTGTGGCTTGCACCACAAAGCGTGCACCCCCGGTTCCTTTCTCCCCAGCCCTACGCTTACTCGGGGGCCTGCTGTAGATATGAAGGCCCGTGTCGAACTCGACATTGGTGACTGGCCTAACACGGCATCCTCGCCGTGCGCCGAGGTGGATGAGTAGACGGAGGCCTTCTGCCAGCGAGTAGCTCTCTCAAGTACATTCACACTATTGTTTGTTGGGCAATTCATTGAGATGGCACTCTGGCACGTGGCGGCACCGCGCCGGACCACACCCCGTACCCAGCCCCCCCCAGCTCAGTCGAGGCTGTGCAATTATCAATAGCTTCAAAAATGGAGCCTCACAGCTACGGGCTACCCTAGGCTCGGATCCCCCAAAAATACCTACCTACCTACTAGGGAACATTCAAAGGGCGCAGAGACAAGAAAACTCACCATGGCCATGCATTCTTCATGATATATCATGGTACAAACGCCAAAGCGCTTCGTATAGCTCTTGTTGCGTGGTCATGGAATGCAAGCTGATCATACAGGTTAATATACATCCGTACATTGTCGTCGTCAACGATGGACACTTCTGTTTATGCATGCGCATGTTTCAATTTTGGGATCTCGAAGCTGCTTCTATTCCACGCCTTACGTCTCTATGATCCCGTCGCAAACAACCCCAAACCTGGACTCGGGTATTGTACACTGTTTAACACATTAAAAGACCCTCTAAACGGCTGAGAACCGATGATCCTCGTTCCAGCCGCCCCTTTTGATGTCTTTCCTTTGCTCCTCCGCGCCCCATCCCGTGAATCATCATGTCGCCTTATCCCTGACCTTACAACTTCTGGTACTCGAGCTTGCCCTCCAGCTTCTTCGACTCGGCGACCTTGCGTACTGCTTTGTTGAAGTCGTCCTGGTTGATTGCGTCGCGGTAATCCTTGATGGCAAACAGACCACTGGGCATTGCTAGTTAGCTTCTGTGTTTGAGGTATTGTCAAGATACGCAATCACTTACGCTTCTGTCACGACATTTCTCAAATCCGCACCGTTGAGACCATCGCTCATCTTCACCACGCTCTCGAAATCAATCTCACCCTCCGTCACCACACCCTGGGCATGAATTTTGAGAATCTCCAAACGGCCGACCTCGTTCGGCAGGGCAATCTCGATCTTACGGTCGAGACGTCCGGCACGAAGTAGCGCGGGATCGAGGGTATCAGGTCTGTTCGTGGCCATGATGATCTTGGTCTTTCCGAGGTAGTCGAAACCGTCCAGCTGGTTGAGCAACTCCATCAACGTTCTCTGGATCTCACGATCCGCACTGGTTCCCTCAGAGAATCTGCGTCCACCAATAGCGTCGATCTCGTCCATGAAGATGATGCAGGGCTCGTGCTCCTTGGCGTAGCCGAACATCTCGCGAATCAGGCGGGCAGACTCTCCGATGTACTTGTCGACGATTGCTGAAGAAACGACTGTTTGACCTCGTTAGCACACTTCCTTCTACCATCGTTCACCACTGCACACAGAGTAGACCTACCCTTGAGGAAGTTGGTCTCGAGACTGCTTGCCACGGCACGTGCAAGCAACGTCTTTCCCGTACCAGGAGGTCCGTAAAGCAAAACGCCCTTGGGCGGCTTGATGCCCACCCGAAGGAAGAGCTCGGGGTTCTTGAGCGGCAGCTCAATGACCTCACGGAGCTCACGAATCTGGTCGTTCAATCCACCGATACCGGCGAAGCTGACTTGACCGGGGTCTTCCAGTGACATGTTGTAGACGAGGGGGTCGACTTCCCGGGGAAGCATACGCATGATCGTGAGTGTCGTCATATCGAGCGCCACGCGCGTGCCTTGCTTGAGCTTGACCTTGTCGACCTTTGATCTGCATCCGACGACATATCTGGGACCGGAGGAAGCCTTTACGATGACTATTCATAAATAAGAACGCTGATTAGCAAAGGTTGCATATGAATCATTCGTGTGTTTGTCTAAGCGGCAATGGTGGTAGGTAGTGATGTCGGGGCGGGGACGATATCCAGCGGAGGCGGAAAGCGGGATGGGGATGCCTTCACTTACATCTTTCGTCATCGAGCTGCTTAAGGACCTCGCCGATAATCTGACCGACACTCTGCAACGCCTTAATGTTGTCTTCAGTTCTGTCAAACTCCCGCTGCAAATCCTTGATCTCGAGCCGCAGGGACTTGAGCTTAGCTTCCCACTCCCGGGATTCGAGCAGCTTGGCCCGGTACGAGTCGAGAGCCTTCTGGCGTTCGTCGTCGGAAGACATCTCTGGTTGTGGGAAGTTGAAGAGGAAAGGGCTACTGCCTTGATCTCGTCGAGGAAATGGAATGGCTGCGGTTCGGAAGGGAGGCGGTGTGGTGGTGGGTGATCGCGTTTGGGTTTCGAGTTTCGAAGGTTGGGTCGGCTGGTGAATGGAAGTGGGTGAGGTAGCTTGTGTGGTAATCAGATCGTTGTTTTCGGAGGTTGTGGTGTCGACGTACCTCCCACTGCAGCCTTCTGCCTCAAAGGCAAGCACGGCTCAGCTCCGACTAGCGCCCTATCCCTGTGGCCACCGAAGCTCTGCCGCTTTGCTCTGATTGGCTGTTGTCTCGGACCCGGGAAATACCAGCTCCCGGTCAATTCTCACCTACTTCCATCATCAAGGAAGATGCCGGCTTCAGCTTGATCTGCTGTGCATCAATAGGAAGTATCAGTGATGCTCATTTCATCGGTAGATTACTATTTTGGGGTTGCTGGCCTGGCATATCGACCCTTCTTTGAACGCTGCCTCAAATCTTGATCACTGCTGGACTATGAGAGAGATAATGAGTTCAGGTAGGCAACATCAATATGGGGGCTTCAATTTGGAAAGCTTTCCCGTGTGAACAACACATTAATGACTGCTCAATCCTCTCTCGTCAGGACACTCCCACAGAACACATTATACATCCAGCAAATTGGGTACCGAAATCCCAATTATTCAGATATCGAAGCAGGTTCAAAAGCGCAGTGGTCGTAGATCAATATCAATTAGGAGGGGCAAGCCTCCAGTAAAGTTATGTACTAAGAATGGTAGGAAACAACGGCCCAACGCCCAAATGTCCTATCTCGCGTCCATTGATGGACTATCAATTTTCCACACTTCAATCTCCTAGATCTCCGCAATCTAGATGGTATTGCGAGACAACATGCAAACCGTGGAGTGCGTGTGTAGTGCATAGAGTCAAAGCCTCCTAAGGGGGTAAATGCAACAAATGAAAACCAAATTTCACTACAGAACTCCAGGAAAGACGGGTATTTGGGTGCGTAAATCATAACGACAGCAGCCTGGGATAAGCGTTTGCTTATCCTAGAAGTTCAGAAGTGATCTCCTCACGGACCTTTCGGCTCCAATCCATGATAGCCTTCTCAAAATTGACCCAGACTTCGGGAGAATTGTTGTAGACAATACCCAAGGCATCCACCTTGAGTAACACTTCCCAGCGCAGCTCTGCTGCTTTGGCCCAGTATCTGATATTGTCTGCAGACCGATACGGCTTGTCTGTGTCGGTGTGGAATGTGGTAATCAAGCCGAATCGCCGTTTTGACCTCTTCACCGCCGCATTGTGCAGTTCAATCAGGTGAATGCCGTTCTGCAAACTGCTGAGATAAGGCGTCGGACACTCGCTTGCCTGGGCTGCAGGCGTATAATCTGGTAGCGGGTCGGCCTGCGGGACGAGAGAAGCCATAAAAGCCAATTCTCTTTCCACTTCTTTGCCAGTCCAGTCACCCTGCAACCAAGTCCAGGAGCTTCGCTCCGCCTTTTCTGCTTCAATCATCTCCTCTTCAATCTTCAACATGCTGAAAAGTCCGGAAATCCATGATTCGAGGATGCGTAGCTCCTCGTCCTTCATTCCGCCGGACCATTGTCGGGTTGCCATCTGCTTCAATGTCTCCATGACAGAGAGCAGTTCTGTGCGAATTTCCTTTTCAGATTTGATAGCGTCCAGTCGCTCGGGGACTTCATGCGCTGTGTAGTAGTTCCTGGCAGCTCGAATGGCTAGTGTCATGACATCAAGAATGTGCATACCCTGAACCTCGTGCCAGCCTGTTGAAGTTTTCTTGGGGGCCTCGCTTTGTCCTCTCGTAGGAATCTCCGGCAGTTCCGGCACGGGGCTGCTATCCCTATGCTTTTTTGCGTGTCTCAAGGCCTGAGCCGCCTTCTCGAGAGATCCTGTCAAGTCCGCCTTGAGCTCCTCGATTGTAGGAGGCTTTGGCACCGGCTTATTTCTGTGAATGTAAGTGCTCGCGGTCGGAGGTAGAACATCCGGGTCCTCTTCGAAATCATCAGAGTAATAGTGGTCATCAGTAGGCGATTCCACCATTGGTCCTGCGCCAAAAGGTTGAGAGCCAAGCTCTGGGCTGTTTCCCCCTGAATCAACGATCCCTGGCGAGTTCGAGCTGGAGCTGCTAACAGAGGAGAGATCCAGTCCTCCTTTGGCCTTGTTCTTTCTTGCTAGCTGAGCACCCTTGCCATCGAGAAGGCCGGTTCGCGCAAAATAATACTGTAGGTGGGCGATGCTTCCCAGGCTAAGAACGCTTTCTCTGTGACGAGCACTCGCAGCGAAGTCGGTGCCCTGCGGTCGAACAAAGCCTCGGCGGCGACTAGAAGAGCGGCCGACTTCCACGCTGCTGCAAGTGGACTGTCGGGACGATGCGAAGCTGATATCGGAGCGGCGACTGTAGTTTCCAGAGGACTGTCTGGAGTATGTGCTGCCTCGGAAGCTTCCCAAAGATTCGCGGGAGTTGCCCTCGGTGGCGGATCCGTGGGAGACGGAAGAAGCAGTCGAAACGCAGCGAGAAAGCTCGGGGCAAGCGCCAATAGCTGGGGTCGGGGATGCATCTGATGATGGGGAGTCGCACCGAAACGACGGCGTTTCTTCGTTTGCCGTAGCCATTATTTCGGTTATGCTGAGAAAGTCGAATGCTCTGAAGCCCGAGAGCTTGGTTGTAATACGTGTAAGCTCTGGGGCGGGTACGTGATATCGTGGAGGGTACGGTAGCGGTCGAGCAGAGGGTGTCGACGTCTCGTCTCAGCTAGGTATCGGCGGTGGTCTCAAAGCTATGCGCTAGGCAACGTGAGGGGGTGCGATGACCAATGTGGCAACGATTCAATGTATGTACAGGTCGGAGAGGTCTTTTTGCAAATACAATGGTTGCGTGAAGGAGACTGGGTGCACAGCAGCGTCCAGAGGGTCGGCAAGCAATAGGGTTCACACTGGTGAAGAAACGGCTGCTGGTGGTTCGAGGGACGTACGGCGAATTCTTTGGTCAGGTGAAAGCCAAAAAAGACTGAAGCGAGCGAGTGGTGATTAACAGACGGTCCCCAGAATGGACGAAGCGGACGGAGAAAGTTTCTTGGACTAATAACCCCGGACGGTAAACACTGGCTAGGCAGGGTAGGTTGGCAACGGTAGGGCAAAAGAAAGCTAAGTCTCGTCTCTTCAAGGCTCGTCGTGGGCTAGGAACGGCCGAGGGTAAGGTGTGCCTGCGTGACTCCGTGCTGTGACAAGACGCGACTCTCCGGTGTCAGGGGTCTGTGTTGAGCTTGACCACAGCGTAAGGCAAGGTAGGTGAAAGAAAGCGTCTGGTACTGTGTGTGACGGGATGTGGTCGCCTGGCTGTCTCTGGCACCAAGATCCTCGTCCCGGTTGCGTCAGTGGAGATGTGTGGAAAGGCCAAGGGCGAATCTCTGACGAGGGAAAGTCTCCAGCAGGCAAATTGGGGGTCCAATCGAGTGGCTCGCGACTTGCCAGGAAGGGACGGTTTAAATTGAACGTCGCGTCGTCTCCGAAGGTGGGGTGCGTCGTGGGTGCTTGCTGCGTGCAAAGGAAAGGAGAGGGGAAGGTGGGACGTAGGATGCGGGACGCGGGACCTTGGTGCTTGCTGCTTCAAGTGTGAGCCTGGAGGCTGGAGCTGGAGGGATACGATGGAACGCGTGAAACGGAAGCCGTTATCTTTGATCGTGCGGATGCTTTCTTTTTAGAATTCGGAGAGATATTTCTAAACGGCTGGTTGGCTCTTGTTCAGTTCCAAAAGAAACGCAGCACCTCGGACAGGTACGAACGGATGGGGTATTACAATGAGTAACGGAAGAAGTTGGTTTCCACAACTGGACCTGAAGGTGGGTAGCTAGCGTAGGTACCCGAAAGAACGATTGGTATTACCAGCAGCTTCTCCAACTTCATGTGTTCCTCACTCAGGTACACTAGGGCAGAGGGGATCGCCGACTACTTATTCCGCCACACACTCGTCAGGATGCGCTAAGAGCGAAGCAAATAACTGCTGAATCTCAGCCAGGTATTTCCAAAGGGAACTCATAAACATCGACTCAGCAACGCGCAAATGGCCAAGCTGCGGAAAGATGCGCAGAACGAGCAGCTCAACACTCTATCCTAACGGTATGGCAAAGCTACCTTGGGCATGAGAAACATCAGCCCTCCTGCATCCCAAGCTGTCGTTGAGCTCATTATCCCATCTCTCTACCTCTACCTTGTTGCAAGTCGGATTCCCGTGGTGATGACATTTTCAGGGGCACAAATCTTAAACAATGTCCAGCTGGCAGCAGCTCGTCCGGCCAACAAAGCACGAGTGGGTAATTTCATTCCGCCAAAAGCCTTTCCCGATATCGAGATGAACCAGACCAAACCCCCCCTCTTTCTTCGTCAATCCTAAACACGGGCTCCATCCCGCATCTCTATCAACTTCCTTACTGGTTGGTCGGCGAACATACTGAGAATATCCCTCCAGAATGCACGAGAATGATGGGTGCCCCCAAGAAGCACGGAAAGACGAGTTGCGAGAGAAACCGGACCAAGCATGACCGTTGATTATTGCGCAACCTCAGCCACATGGCGCCAAGGGCCATACACTTCTGCTTCTTGCCCTATCCGTGTCGCGGCCCGGCCATTCCCGCCAGACTCTAGGTCATTGCCCCATGCTTGACCTTGTCCCGCAGAAGCTATATCCGTCAGCTGGCCGAACTTTTGTCAGTGTCTCAATGTACTGACTGTCTGAGCAAGTAGATCGATAGGTTTCGAGGAGAACTTCTGCAATTTCGCTACGGCCTCGGGACGTGAAAGATATATGCTGCATTGAAGAGTCTGAGATGAAGTAGTGCGTGCCTATGCCTTGCCCTTACCTTTTTTTTCTTCTGCTTTTTGCTCTTCAGCATGGTATATCAGGTATGCTGAGAGCAAAAATCTCCATTTCCGCATCTCTGTCATTTTCCATTCTTGCCCCCTGGTGATTCCGGTAATGCAAGTGATATGCAAGCCATCGCGTCAGACAACTCTATGTCAGCTTGAGGGAGTAACCTCTGCACTCACCACTCTCCTTTCCCAATGCAATCAATGGCATGGCGCTCAACCTCGTTCACGAGCTGTACCAATGCATGTATATTTGACGAGCACAAAATCTGTGCATGCGGAACTATGTATGACGTG